AAAGTTATGCAGATGCATTCGACTGAATTCAAAAATGACCATCATTCAGTGGTCTGTGTTGACCGGATATCTAACAAGTGACAAATTAAAACTATTTAGGGTTCAAGACGCTTGTCATTTAAGTTAGCATGCATTATCAGATACCCAACTGTCGTGTTTAGAAGTCACAAAAACTTTTGATTTGAGAAATCATAAACTGAAAATGGGAATAATTCTCCCTTGTGCTATGACAAAAAGGGAAAGGTGGAATAAAATTTAGAACTTTTTCTAGAATGAAATAGAAACTGACAGTTAACTGGATTTATTACTGGTCTTCCAAGATACCTTATGAGACCAGTGTGTTTCGTGGTGCTGTTGTTTAGTGGAGGTTTAGCATTTGGTATTTTATTTCGACCTAATTATGAGTATATCTTTGTATCTTTTGAAGTACAACTGGAAAATTAAATAAGTATACGGTTGACAATGGGACTGCTGGTTTCTGTATCCATTTTTTCAACATTCGCAGCCAATGTCTTAAAATCACTTAGATATTGATGCAAGTTGTATTTCAGTTCTTCACTAGCCATAATTATCTTTGTATTTATTGACATTCACAAGATTTTATACTGTTCAAATGCTGCTCACTTCTAAATCAAAGCTGTCAAAAATTAGAGAATGGGAAGTATTAAAGTAGTTTCTGAAAATACTGGTAGAAAGCTGACGCTTCGTATCACCGGTATCTGTCGACTGACAGACCCCATCTTAGATAGCTCAGGTTTACTGATTAACACGAAAAAAATAAAATGATGTTTGTTGGCTCACATTGAGTTGTAGCTTTCTGGAGTTGAATGTTGAGCAGGCTTCAAAATATGGTGTTTTTACCACGGCTTTTTCGACATATTAGATGATGATGAACTAAGTTTTGTAAAGGAATTTCACATTCTCTGTGCTCATATAACTTATTTTAAGCAGGATAACTGCAATGTACTCATCAGTTTTCTTTGGCTGCTTCAGAATGTTCTGATGGAGTCATAAAAGAAGACTGTAGCGAACAAATTTGTTTTTGACGATATCACTTTCAAAAGCTCTATAGACATTTTTAAATAAAGTTAATCATTGTGTACATTTTACGGTGAAATATGTTGATATTTGTCAGCCAGTAGTTCAAAAACACAAAAGACGAAAGAAGTAAGTTAGGTTTAAGGAATTGCATGTTTATACGCGAATAATGAAGGTGAATGAGAAACTTGTTTTGAACACATACTTCTTGCTTCAATTCCTTATCATTTAAGCTTGAGCAATGTATAACAGATGTTTCTTTGAACCTTTCGTAAGCTTCTTCTGAAATCTGTAAAGTAAATGAAAGTAATCTTTTGAAAACTGAGTCTTCACTGTTGACTAAATGTTGCCAAATGGAACATTTGATTGGCCTCAAATCATGGCAGTGATTACATTATGCTATCTTTTGACAGCGCTTCATTATTCGCAAATCTTCCACTAGAGGTAACTGCATGTTTCAGATGCAACTATGTTGCATTGAAGGCCAGTGATATCCAGTCCCGACAACCAGCTCTTATTAGGATGTGAATAAATATGCGAATCAGTTTCAATAACTATTAATTATGGTGTTGTTTTAACTTAGCAGAGATATGAGCGAGTCGACGACTATGTTTACTGATATAATTGCCAATGAGAATTGGTGCTTGATAACTCCTCAAGATTGATGGCTAGCACGCTGAGTGAAACACTGGTGAACATTTTAACTAGCTTACAGCCACTCTTCAGCTTCCAAAAATTGTTGCAGATTTCTGTCCCCCAACTCCTCTAGAAGCTGAGAGGTTACTGAAAACGTAAGATGATGCAAAGGAACAAGATCTGATAATTTACCACCAAAAATTTTTAAGGGTAGATGTAGAAAATTACTGAGTAGGGTGAGGTACTAGGCAGTGTATGCTAAGGTGTGTTCCCATCAGATCAGTTTAGATCAGTTTGACTAGCACTGAATCCAAGACCTGGTGTCTATATTTATTGGGCGATAACTCGAGCTGAAGGACGGTAAAACCAAGAAACGTTGAAAAGTTTCAAGCCTGATAGTGTATGCAACAGATCTTCACTCTTTGACGGGTTCTGCACCACAGAGATACTAACTGCCACCCGAAAATCGCATTACTTCTGACTTTCAGGTGGTGTTTGACTGTGTCAAGTGACAGGAGTTGTGGCAGGTGTAGGAGGGGATACCAAACGAGAGTGTAGTGAGAATCGAGACTGTGTACATGAACTCACGCAGCTGAGTGTAGGCTTATGGGCAGTTATCTTCTGAAGTGATGACAACTGGTGGTGTCCGTCAGGGATGCTAACTGTAACCGTTTCTGTTTAGCTTTGCCAGGGATGAGCTGGTGAATATAACCTTACGTGGCTCCAACTTTATAGGGATTGACTTGTTCCTAGGATAATAAGTAGCTGATTTGGAGTACGCGGACGACATGTCCTTGTTAAGCGAAGGGGTTGACAAAATGCGGGGTCTTCTGAACATGCTAAGCAGAAAACTGCGGGTGTTTGCTCCTGTCAAATTTTTGATTATGCTTCAAAACTGGTCTTCAAAACCTCCCAGCTTTTAGAAATGGTGGGTGGAGATGTAGGAAACATTGATCAATTCACTTTCTTGGGGATTTAAATCAGTCCAGAAGGGTAATTTGCTGATGAAGTCCCAGCCTGGATGCAAAACATGCGTTTGAGATCTGCAATATACTCTTTTTCCAGCCCCAACGAGATATCTGACTTTCTGTTAAAGAATGAGTATACTACGCTGCGGTTATATTTACTGTATTATACAGTTGTCAGACTTTTATTTGAAAGCAGAAGATAGAAGAAAAAACGGATTTTATTACCATAGGTGTTTTCGTTGCACTGCCTTTGTATAATGCGATTATCTTATAGAAGATGGTAAGAATAGACCTAGGGTATGATGTAAGAAAGGCAAATCAGTCGATGAGGCCGTGAACCTTCTCGGAATCAGGTGGATTGGGATGCGCAAACGCATGTCCCAGCCATCAGCTAGCTCGAAAAGTAATGTTAGCCCAAGAAGAATTTGGTTGGAAAAAGGTTAAGAGTTACCAGAACAAGATGTGAAACAAGTTCCTGGATTTGGTCTGAGTCACGTAGGAGGGTGTAGACTGCTTGTCTGGGCTCCCCAAGATAATAATAATCAACGATTGGAAACCCTTGCTAACGGTTAAAAATGGGTTACAAGTGTGCAGACACATTGACTCTTTGACATATTGGATAGTTTGAGCATTTTCTTAAACCTATATTTATTTATCCCTCTCCTCCTCTACACTTTTTTCTACCTTAATTTCACTCTTTTCTATCCAAATGTTCTTTGCTTTCTGCCATGAAATGGGGAAGCTTTGGCCTATTCACTTTCATCAAGGTTTCCATATTGATTTACCTAAATATCTTTATGTGTTGACTAAACAAATACTCTAACTCTTCATTGGAAACGAAAGTATTTCGTATACTTTTTAGGTTTACAAAATTCCAACTGAGAAATGCTTGATCACTGTGATAGAATAATAAAACTAACAGGGTCAAGTGCGAGAACCACTGAAGGTAGGATCCTGAAACCCTTTTTAATATGATGCTGATTTTTGGAGTAATATCTTCTTTAGCTTAAAATGTGCATCCACTCTTGCTAGATGTATGGATTAAAGTTGTCTCTGAGATTTTGGTGATATACAAGTTACTTTAAATGAGGACTCCAAATAAGTGGTAGAGGCATTTGAAATGACCAGGGTATTCGAAAGGTTATCTGAAGAACAATAGTTGATGCGTATGGCATCTACTAAACAATTTAATATAAAATCAGTGGATGTGAATTCCCGATTATTTGATGGTTGTATTCGGCTACTTGAGTCGATTGCTTTATGACTGAGGAGTATGAACAGTTCATCTCTCTACTCTAAAATAAATGAGATGTTTACGAGGTTCACTACCGTAAGTTATTGATGAGAGCGTACTTTAAAACTGCAGTCCTAAATTTATTGGTCGAGAAATTCAGTTACGAAGGTAACTTTTGAAGTCTATTGGCCTATGTAAACTAAACTTCTCTAACCTTCGATTAAGGATGATATTTTCTTGCAATATCAAAATCAATTTGTAAATTCTTCATACACTTATCTCAACATGGTCACTTGAACTTTATTATCGGAATATTAGTGAAGAATACATTTTTGTGGACATGGATCCATTACTCATTGCTCATGAATCTTTGTTTCTTATTAAATAAAAAATTTTTTTGGACATTAAAGGAAGAAGAAAAAAAGATCAAAGTAAATTGATCAGTGATGTTGCATATTTGTTCTCAACTTTGTGTAATTGTACTAATCATTTTTGATCTTAGGGCTTTTTGCTATTCATCTGCAAATAATAGGCCTAACCAAACTGTAGTTATCTGTAAAGGTTCCTTAACACTGCGTGGCATATTGCTATATGTCATCTAGCTTATTTTATGGTCCATAAAAATACCACGTTGAAAATAACTAGCTTTCAGTAGGCTACAAATAGATTCAACTGATTACTTTGCACTTTGTTTACAGTGATCCTACTGTATGATATTAGATTCTGTTGCAACCCTTACGAAAGTCTAGGAGCCTGGAAATGACACGTTATTTCGCAGTTGACTGTAAAAGAGTATATCTAGCCTAAATAAAAAAACAGATGAAACTTATGAAGTGGAATTTAAGATACCTTTATTGGCGAAGTGAAGAGTTGTGTTGGAGTATGTTAAAGAGGAACATTTGTACCTTATAAATGTGTTTGATAAAGATTTTGTAAGGAGGTGCATATCAGAGTGTATCAATGGCTTCGTATGACCCCATCGTATTCAAAAGACTTAGATGTACTCATATTCTTCAATAAGACACATTATGCGGCATACATATCTTTTAATCTATAAATGGCAATGAAACATGAAGTGGAATCAATGGCTTTTTGTTTCAGTAATGATCGCTCATTTATTCTAGCTTGGTTTGGACATAGAAGAACTGGAAGAAATGGAGTGTGATGCAGGACTTGGCAACGGTGGTCTTGGTCGATTGGCTGCCTGCTTTCTTGACTCGATGGCTACAATTGGTCTAGCAGCCTATGGTTACGGAATACGCTATGAAAATGGTGCTTTTCATCAGAAGATTAAAGATGGATGGCAGGTAAGACTTTGTTTTACCTTCTTTTCAGTATTACTGATAGTGTAATCTCTAATGTAACTGATTCATATTCTGTCTTTGGATATTAAGGTTGAGGAACCAGACGAATGGTTACTCTACGGGAATCCATGGGAAAAAGAACGTCCTGAAAGTACTCGAACGGTTAATTTTTATGGTAAAATTGTACGGAATAACCTAGGTTATTGTGAATGGATTGACACTGAAGCAGTATGTGCGATACCATTTGAGGTTCCGATACCTGGATACCATACTAACACATGCAATACACTCAGACTATGGGCAGCTAAAGGAAAAAAGTACTTTGATAAAAAAATCCAAAATAGCAATGACTACATAAACGTAAGTTGTCTAAATAATGTTTTTTTGTAATCTGCGTAATGTTTTAAATCAGAAGAAAACTGGGGTATTATCGTATGATTTATTCGATACTGTAATACTTAGCCATTTTGCAAAACTTTCCGCATCCCTGTTAAATGAGCGTCTTGTGGTATTCCTTTTAAGGAAGAGCATGCTTCTTTCACGGTATTGACTGCCCATTATCGGTTTATTTGGACCTTGATCAGCTCCGGTAGAGTGGTAGTTTCAAAATTAAAAGTCATCTTGATAAACTATAGTCTTTTAGTCTAATTCTGCACCATAAAAGGTCAAACTTCGCTAACTATTAACTTTATTTACATTGCTTCTAATATAGGGTTTTAACAGTATAAAACAAGATGCTTCAAAGCTTCAGATCCGATCATCAAAAGAATACCATTTAGACCTAGTGCAAAAGATTAATTCCGTTTACTGAGATATATATACATGGAGCATATTTCTTACGTTTTTTCAAAGTTTTGAAATCCGAGTCATATGAACTCTTGAAGGTAAAATTGTGTAGACGGCCAAACATTGTGAGCTCGATACAGGATTCTAAAACATCTGGCAGTGAAAGATTTGTGAATGTTATTTCTTTACTGTCCCGACTACTGTTGATTTTTTTGTTTTCTTCACAACGAGCTCAAGTAAACATAATTCATTGGTAGAAATTGTTGAGACCATAGGACAGTGAGACCAACGTGACCTTAAACCTGCGCTAACTTACTGAACAAGTAATGTTAATTGGCTAGAAGCAGTCGATAGGAAGCTAGGACCCAAGCCTCATGATTGTTAGCACTCATCGCTGAGGCGTGTCTGCGACCTGAATTGAAAGTGACTACCTCGGTCATAAGGTATATACTGCAGCACCGCGTGACGCCGGTTGTAACGCCTGAGGATACAGTATTTGGTTTGAGATTACAAATAAACTTTGTCGACAAAGGGTAATAAACACAAGACCCTATTTAAGAGTTTCTTGATGACTACCTTCAACCAACTAACATCAATCAAAGTGCATCGTGGTAACTAATCTCCTAGCCAACCAAACACGTTGTGAAATGATAGACTGAATTCGGTCAGCTCTTAGGATTAGACCGGATGAAATGAGTTACTTATCAGTGACTAGTAGACGTCACAGAACAATTCCAGATACATGACACGTTTCTAAACACTGCATCTTATGCAGAAATGAGTCCGGATAAGTATTATCCTAATCAATCATAGTTTCTCAGAACTGCTTTTAGTATTTCATAGGGCTATTTCTCTTTAGTTATGAATCAGGTAGTTCCAGCTGAAGGAATAGTTTCTATGTTCCCACACGCCAATTTTAAAGAAGGCACATCTGACGGACTGAAAGAACAGATCTTAGAAACAGCTAAGTTGTACAACATTCACTTAACACTGTGAACAATGTAGGATAAAGAGCGTGCAATGAATAGTCAGTCAATAACACAATTCGATTTCATAAATATAGGAGTAAAGCTTGGGTACTGTGACAGATTGCGATTCCATTCTAGTCTGTTTATTGGGAATGTGAAACAATATCATTTAATGGATAACGTTACGGACATAATTTATTGTCCATATTCATATCAGGTAACTTACTCGATAACTTTGAGACAGAGTTTATATATTCCTAATTTCCTTTCTTTCTTTGTGAAAAGGGTAGGAGATTTTCCCATATATCTGGGACAGGTGCGGAATCGTATACATTACATGTATTTGGTGTTGACTCAATCAATAAAGATTTGGCTATCAGCCTCTCCCTCCACCAACTTAAGTCGGTTTTTAACCCTGTCTCTCTCTCTCCCTCCCTACTGTGTGCTTGTGTGTAATTGCATGTAGAGCTATAGTCGAGGTTTTTTTCTAAATTTGTTATCTTGTTAGGATCTACTAATCTTGATTTAGCTCAGTTTTTGTGTTCTGTTATTCTACTTGACCCTGGTCGACTACTTTGACCTATGTATTTGACCTTGCAATCCTTGCAAAGGATTTAGTAAACTAAATTATTTCGCTTAATTGCATCAATAGGATCTATTAACATACAAAGCTTGTTTCTAAGCCAGTTTGTTGGCTTAAATGCCCCTTTAATTCCAGCCTTACTTGACTTACACTTAAGTTTGTTCTGGCGCTTGCCATAAATAAATAAAACCCATATTGTGTGGCCAAAAACAGTTTGTCTTTACGCTAAGCTTACCTTGGTAATGCTTATTTCATCGTATTACCAAGGTTGTCTTCAAATCTTATCTTTTTTCCTTTCATTATATTTCTTACTATTGAATTCGTTTATGTCATATTTGTCCTTCACCCACTTCCAGTTTTCATATATTATGCCTTAACAAGTAAATGTGTGATCAGATTGTTCAAAATGTATAGCGCTAATACATCACATTTTTCAGATAATCTACGTCTTCTAATTACATTATCCAAAAACCCAGTCTTATTGAAAATTCTTCGTAACGCTTATGAGATGCTTTCTTTATGCAGTAACACAGTAGAGGCTTTGAATTCTCGCTCAACCCTGTCACCGTTATTACTATTAGTAGTAGAAGTCTTAATAATAACACCTTTGTTACTACCACTGCTAGTATTTTACTTCCAATTTATTATTAATTTATTTATAAATTTATGTAGGCAATTACTGAGACGTAAGATATTCTTGGTGTGTCAAGTTTCTTGTAGTAGATTTTCTGGCCTATCGATAAGTTTTTTCTCCTTATCACCTAGGCGTTTAACTAAGCCTACTTTAACTGAGATGGGGTGCGATTATATGAAGTCTAAGTAGCGGTTCGAACGAGAAGGTTTCCTCTATAGAAACTAGTCTCTAAATGTACGTCTTTTCATTTAATCTTACAATCCAACATCGCTAGCTCAACTTCACCACCTTCTGAGTCACTGGTAAATTGCATTGCACTAAATACTGAATTTATATATGTCAAACATCTATTGATGTGTTCCGATTTCAGTAACAATAATGTATCATCCACATATCGGGACCATTTCTTCGGAGTAGGACAAAATGTTTGAAAGGTCATAAGTTCCTAACTAACCATAAATATATCTGGGATGTTGATCCAATGGCAACTGCTTCAATTCTAATTTGGTCACCTTCAGTAACAGTTCCTTTTGTGTCATGCCTAAAGAGACAATGAAAAGATTATTTTCTTGTCAAATGTGAACAATTTCAACGAGTTTCTCATTTATTTATAAACAAATTGTGGTTATTGAGGAACTGCATTTCCTATTAACCACACTTAGTACTTGATGTCGCTTATTTTTGAGTCTCAAGTACAATTTCGGCTTAAACTTTAAAAAAAATAAAATGTTTTGTTCATGCATTGTTCGTCTGGTTTTCTTCTTATCTTATTATTAAGGCTATATTTGAGCGTAACCAAGCTGAACATATTTCTCGTGTTCTTTATCCTATTGATCATGCATTTGAAGGTAAAGAATTACAATTAAAACAAGAGTACTTCTTGTTTCTGCTACCCTGCAGGTAAGTTGGAATTTCGGATGACAAGTACTCCGCGATATATATACTCATATACATGTTCACTACGTGAAGTAGTAGTAATAACACCGTGAAACGTTAAAATTTTGGAGTAATTAAAGTAATTTGATTACCTTCGGTAGATTCTTATTTAAAAAGGGCGTATAAAAAGTTACTATTTGTTGACAATAATCAATATTTATTCACACCAGCCAATGTGTCTCGATAGTGGTGGAATCATTCCCTCAAGCCATTATGGGTACGTACTGCAGAACAGTCCCAGGCTAGAACAAAACAGATGTCCAATATCTCTAGGTTTTCAGTGGTTGTCCATCTGATGCAAGTCTTTGACGAATACAACTCTGAAATTGCCTGATGTGAACTTGATGATCTTGATCAGACTTTTGTCAAAACTTCAGCCTAACTATATTCACTCTGTCAGTATCAACTAAGGAATCTGCCCGTTATTGTTACATACTTTGTGCTAACTGAATGAGTAGACTGAACACCGAGGATGAAACAGTGTTATACTTTCGAACGCTAATGGTTATATATACCGAACGATATAATATGCATGCTTAGCTGATAACTTACTTAGTACTCAAGAGCCACTGACTGCGACCCCGGGATGAACAGATAGAAGACCGAAGCTAGCAGATGGGAGAGTTTAATGCTGAATAAGTTCATCGTCCAGCGTTTTAAAATAATAACAATCGATCCGAAACACGTGAATAAGTATACACATGAAAATGACCTTGTCCACAATTGGTGTAGGGATGACACGTTAAAATGTTCAGATCAATAACAATGTTTTATGCAAAACTGAGGCATCAGAACAAACAGTTTCTGAGCAACTTCACAGCCCAAGGAGTTATTCTGTACTTAGATTCTGTCTCTGATGGTCACTTATTATATATTATTATTAGTCCCTTGGGTTCCTAGTGGAACATAGGGCTTCAGTAGCACGTCTCCAGTGACCTCTGTTCTCTGAGATCTTTTGAACCTGGTCCCACGACAGCCCAGAAACTCTCATTTCCTCCTCGCACGACCTCCTCCATGTCACCCTCAACTGGGACGCCCAACTCGTCGCTTCCCATGTGGATTCCACTAGAGCAACTGGCCTGACGCGTGATGTCCCCAGTCGGCCTCCTCAGTGCATGCCCAATCCATCTCCACTTCCTCCTGCATATTTGTTGCGTGATAGGTTCTTGGTTGGTTCGTTCCCAGAGCTCCTCAATGCTTATTCTTTCTGGCCATCTGATCTTCAGTAGCGAGCCAGCGTAAGCAGTTGTTGATGAATGTCTGTAGTTTATTGGAAATTCCTTTCGTGACGCGCCAAGTCTCTGAGCCATACAGAAGCACTGACTTGACCGAGTTGGTGTTGAAAATTCGTATCTTGTTCCGCATGCTGAGTGCAGAAGATCTCCACACTGGTTTCAGGCTAATGAACGCCTGTCTTGCTTTTCCGATTCTGACTTCGACGTCCTCGTCCGTCCCGCCTGTAGTTGAAACAGTGCTTCCTAGATAAGTGAAGGAGGTTACTTCCTTTAAGTTTCTCCCGTTGACGGTGATTGGAGTTTGTTGTTGTTGCTGATGGTGGTGGTGCAATATCTTCATCACCTCTGTCTTCTCTATATTCACCTAAAGTCCCGTCTTCGCTGCCTCTTCTATCAACTTGTTAGTTTTTACCTGCAGATCTTCATGTCTATGTGACATTAGGCATAAGTCATCGGCGAAATCCAAGTCTTCTAGGTTCTTTTCCGTCGTCCAGTGTATCCCCCTCTTCTCGCTGCCCACTGTGTGCTGCATGATCCAGTCCACCACAATAAGGAATATCATGGGGGATAGTAGGCAACCTTGTTTCACTCCTGTCTTCACTTCAAAGGCATCACTGAGCTTCCCATTGTGGATTACTTAACCGGCAGGTGGCATCTTCATATAGTTGTTGAATGAGGCGGATAAAGGTTTGCAGTACTCCGTAGTAGTGAAGCAGTTTCCAAATTACTTGTCGGTCGACGCTGTCAAAGGCCTTCTCAAAGTCGATGAAGTTGAGGTATAGAGCTGATTGCCATTCTATGCTCTGTTCTATGATGATGTGAAGCGTTGCAATTTGGTCTGCAAATGATTTGTACTTCCTGAAGCCTGCCTGTTCCGGTCGTAGTTTTGAACCCAGTGCATCTTTAAGCCTCTCCAGGATGATGCGGCTTAATATTTTACTTGGGGTGGACAGGAGAGTGATTCCGCGCCAGTTCTTGCAAACACTGAGGTCTCCTTTCTTCGGCAGTTTGACAAGGTAACCCTTCTTCCAATCGTCAGGTACCTTCTCTTCCTTCCACACCTTCTGCAATAGTGATGTGAGCATGTCCGATGCTGTTGTCTCTGCGTCTGTTCCCAGTGCTTCTGGCGGTATCCCGTCTGGTCCTGCTGCTTTCACGCATTTCAGTAGCTTTTTGGCTTACAGGACTTCCATTTTTGTTGGAGGATTTATGTTCACTTGTAGTTCAGCGGCTGCAGGTGGTATTTCTGGACGAAGTGCAGGTGGTGGTCGATTCAAGAGCTTTTTGAAGTGGTCGGCCCATTGTTTCCTTTGTTTCTCTCCTTTCGTAATTAAATTTCCTTCTTCATCTTTTATTGGTTTCATCTGTGTTGGTCTCTTCCCTGATAGCAACCTGGTTATTTGATACAATGTTGTCAGGTCTCTATCTCTCTTACCTGCAGCCTGTTCTGCCTCACCTGCCAGTGTTTCGTAGTAGTGTCTTTTGTCTTTCCGTGCACTCTTCTTTACTTCTTTGTTCAGTGTAGTGTTTTATACATTGTACTCAGTTCCTCTTCTCGTTGAGCATCCTTGCACTGATTTATCTTCTGCTTCACCATCCTCCACTCCCTCCTCTATCTGCTTCCAGGTATCCGTCGAGATCCATTCCTTATCTTCTTTCTTCTTCCTTCCTAATACGGCTGTGCAGGTTTCTTTCCACATCTCTTTCAAAGAGTTGCAGTGTTCTTCCACACATGTTTCTTCAGGGATGTTCCTCGATATCTCCCATTTTGTCTTGATGGCTGCCGTGAAGATTTTCTGTGTAGTTTCGTCCTTCAGTTTCCGAGTGTTGTACTTGAATTGAGGTCTATCACCAGCTTCCTTGAAGGCTTTTAACTTGATTTGGAAGGTTCCTTGCACTAGATTGTGAGTGGTATGAACCTACATCTGCTCCTCTTCTTGACCTTGTGTCCAGTAGGCCGCATCTCCATTTTCTTGAGATTGAGATAAAGTCGATTTGATTTTTATTGTGTCCTGGTGTCTGGTGAAATCCATGTCGCTCGCTTTGTGGATATCTTTGTGCCTGAACACACTGCCTCCAATTACCAAATCGTTGAATGCCTGATGGTCACTTGACCCCTTGCAAATAGAAAAAGGCCAAAAAGCAGTCAGTGCATTGTAAAGTCAGACTATGTACATAAATTCAACGACATGCATATATTCAAAGTGGCCTTGGTTATTTCTCTTTTTTTCTTCAAAAAAAATTCTATATGGACATTGTCTTATCAGTCAAATAGACATTTATGAGTTTAATTATCTGTATTTTCTCAAAAATTCAAAACATGTTGGTAGACTGCTAAGAATCTTAAGAATTTTGAACCTTTCTAAAATACTAGACAGTAAAACTATGCTATTTTTTCGCATTTTCGGTCATTTCAGTATCAGGCGAAATGGGTAGAAGAATCAAAGGATATTGTACGATTGTGTGTGTAGTTGCAGTTAATTTAAAATTATCTCTATCGTTTGAATTCTTTCTGGCTCTGTCATCTAGAGATGGAGTACAACAAATCACTGTACTATTATTCCGCGTTGTTTAGCAATTAGCCTGTATTTTATGATATTAAAATAAACGGTATAAAACCCTGCGCAATATCGTGACATTATATTAATTGACTGAAGTATGATTCCGATCAAAAGTTGAAATTCTCTTTATGTAACCTGGTTCATTCTCATCAAAAATACTTGAATCTACCGCTTGGATAAACAGGTGAACGCTAAAGGAAGCAGAACATGTAGATCCTGAATAAAAACAGTAATTGACGACATAAAAAACCATAGCATGACGGTGAAATGCTTATAAATTTGTGATGACATTGAATTGCCAAACAAATCAACAGATGCAGGTTGTAAAAAAAGTGCAATACATAAATATCCAACCCAGATATCTCGTTGATGTATTAAAAGATATTTTCACAGTAACGTGTTTGAATTCATTAATCAGTTAAATAATTACCTGTTTTCATTTAACTGTATTCCTATTCACTTTTGAGAAAATTTCTGTTGAATTTTAAGGACATTTTGTGTCAGTTTAAGTTAGCCGATCCGATGCGTGAACTCTTCGAACTGCCAAATAAAGTGGTGATTCATATTAATGATACACACCCGGCTCTAGCTATACCAGAGCTCATGAGGATTCTAGTTGATTTGGAACGTTTGGATTGGATCGATGTAAGTCTTGTGATATTTTTAAATGTCAGACTAAATTGTTGAAGATAATACATTTATTCATTCAAATGAGTATACATGATTCAGCAGAGTATTAAAAATCAATGAATGTCTCCAACAGGAAGTTTACTAAAATACTAACTTACCACTACATGATGTAATCAAAAGTTTGAGATAGCCAGACAAAGTATAACAGGATATCTGTTAAATAAAATAAAATCTGCTAGTGAGCACATAAGTTATTAAGAACTTTAAGATGGATCTGTTGCATACTGTTCTTTTTTATGTTTATGATCTAGATTGTGATTAAAGCCAGATGAGGTTGGTCGTAACACCACATCGGTCCATCAAGTCAACAACCATTTGATCTAGCCATTTAGGTGATTAAGAGTTGACTGTTCGCAGCTATCAAAATGTTAGAAGTTGGTGACTGGAAGACTGGAGTTTTGTACGATGAGGATATACTCACTTCATACGGCTCTCGAAATTTCAACAATGTTAAGTCAACTTGTTCAGTCGGAGCAAGAATATAAACTAAACTTCAATTTTTTATTTTCTCCTTACAAATAGCTTTATACCGACAAAATTATATATATATATATATATATATATATATATATATATATATATATATATATATATATATATAAACTGGCTGTTTGGAGGTAATCATCAGGAAGCTCTGAACCTAGGTTTCATGCTTTTTGACTCTCGTCAGTAAGGCATATCTGTGGCCTTGAAGGGCGTGATATCCCGTGTGAGGTTGAAACTAGCATCACCCATTATTCCAGTCAGTCACATTACCAGCCAGCTATTCGATCCACCAGTTACCTCGTGAGGGACGGGACTAAGTGCGTTGTTTGGTTACTAGAGAGCAAACAATTTCGATTAATTTCTTCTCCGCCCAACCTGTCTTTTATTTAAAATTTAATTTTAATTAATTTAAATTTAAACGTCTAGATGAAAATTTTCAATTCCGTATTATGTAGTCCTAAAGGCTGACGGAATTTTATGACTACACCATAAAACTAATTGATAAGATTCAGTCAGTAACCAGGACTAGAAAACATGTGATTGGTCACTCCCTAGTGACCAACCAACATAGATATGTCAAATGTTAGAAGTCGATCACTTTTTAGAACCTGATTTACTCCATGCTCCAAAATACAGCGCACTGCAGTTTTGTATCACCCATTTTAAAGATCATATTTTGCACCTGATAGAGAAAATCAGCTGTTAACCTCTTTGTCTCACTGTTCGATGAAAATTTCTGAACTAAACAATATCCCAGTTGGAAAACATAATTAAGGGAATACTACCAGAATGTATATGAGTTATCTTCTTTCAAGTCAACAAATTATAAAGTAATGAACTTTAAGCCATCCTGTTCAAGCATATAATTTGCTTGCTGAATCTGAAGAAATATGAACCTTCATATTTTCATGTCAAAACAAAGTGCTACTCATTTGTAGGTCAGACATACTTGTTCCATCCACGATTAATTCTTTCTGTTGAAATTTTCTTGGTTCCTAACAGGAACACCTGTTTTATCATAATTGTCATTCAAAATGTAAGACTAAGGTCAGACTAATTTTTCTTCAGCATAATAAATGATAGTCAGATCTCCCTCATTTCATGGGATATTATCCTTCTTTAGTCTCTTATTACCAGCACCAGTCATTCATTAAACTGTAGTGATGTAGTATTCTTCAACCCGTATCATTTTACTTTTCAAGGCATGGGATATTTGCTCGCGCGTTTTTACTCACACAAACCATGTTGCTCAGGTACAGTGTTTGAAATACTGGCCATTAGAAATGCTCCAGCGAGTTCTGCCTAGACACCTTGAGATAATAAAGAAAATTGACCATCATTTTAAAAGTGTAAGTTTGTTTTGGAATTACTGTAATCAAAACCAATCGTTTCTGAATGCTAAAAGAATCATTCATTGTCACTTGGTGACTTGTTTTACAGGGTACTTTTTTGAAGTTGAAAGGACTGAAAAAGGAAGACGCAACCTTTATTAAACAGTATTCATCATACTGTAAAACCGAGTAGATGAAGTAAGATAACTATCTCCAATAGTTTTACTTTACTGACTGAGCTATAACAATCTTGCCATAAAAGAGACTTCAGGCTACTTTCAGTAGTTATAACAGAAGGAAACAATAGATTAGTGCCTCATTACTTCTAAGGATTTAAATAATTTTGCTTCCAGAAATCCTATTACTAGGAAAGCCTGTAGCATGCTTTAGTTGATCAACGTTTTGGTTTCGTATTTTGGTAGATAAACATAAGTCAGAAATATATGTACGAAATAACTTACTATGATGTCGACTAACAGCTTGCCTTTTCGAGATAATTTCATGTCTTAAGTCAGAAAATAATTAAATCTGCCAACTTTTCTTCACACCAACTGGTACATAAGCAATGCATTTTATTTGAATAAAACCAAGTCTATATTGCCACAGACTGGTCAGAAAATCATCAGAAGATTATGTTAAACAAACAACAGGTTTACGTTTTTAGATCAACTGTGCGCGTAGGCTAAGAAAAAGCCTCTATAATGACTGTTGTAATCCTATTACTTCAGTTTAATTGTTTTTTTCTATTTAGGATCATTTGGAATTCATTATTAACACCAATATTATTACATAAACGAAGGAAATACTGATGGTTAATTCATTGCAGTAACTATTTCTAAATATTCTACAGTATGCATGTGTTATGCTATTTCACTGCTCAACTTTCATTTTGTTGTAGATGCACAAGAAATTCTGGATAGGTTTGTAAGTAGATAAAGAATCAGAAGTTTGTAAACGTTTGGAGTGAAGAATAAATGCGCCTTAAGATATGAATGACATTTTGTTTGAATAACAGTTCGTGATAAATACATTTTTTTGCAGAAAAATGAATTTATATGGACGAAAATCTTATTTGCGAACAATGATTAATTTGCATCTAAGGAAACTAACTATATAGTCATCATAGTGTGCTGGAAATCCTAAAAAAATCTACTTCATTATTTGAGAACAATAAGAATTACTTTCCATATTATAAATTAAAAGTAGTTAGTTATTGACAAGATGGAAAGATACAGTTAATGACACTTTGTAAAACATATATGCAGTTCATTTACAGACTAGTGAAATATTACTCCTTTCCAGGTAATAAACAGAAGGTGGCCAAGCGATGAAAATCGATTTCACCGTATGTCAATATTTCAAGTAGTCAATGAACCAGCCGTTAGTATGGATCATTTGTGCATAATTGGGTCTCATTTTGTGAATGGTGTTTCCGCCTTCCAAACAAATCACTTAGTAACAAATCTGTATGTTTTATTTGCATTTGTTCAACTTGTTTATGTTTACTTTTTTTTCACTGATGACTTGTGTTTACATTATTCACAAATTGACTTATTTATTTAAAACAATCAGATTCGGTTACATCTTCATGCTTATAATTTTCTAAGTATATGAATCCAATGATTTATGTGATTTTATTTTGCTGTAAATTTGTTGCTCTGACACATGGAAAACTGATGCATTCTTAAGTCCTGAAAAGTGTAAATCTGTCTTTTAGTTAAGACGTGGCATCACATAAATTTCCTTTATCTAGCATTTTTAAGAGGAACAATGTCGAGAGGTCATGTGTGTCTATTGAGTTCTGCAAACTTCACGAACTTTATTCATCAAACAAGAGTGACATCAATCATCAACGAGAAAACAAGTGTTAAATTTTGTCAAAAGGTTCTCCGGACGCACACATATGAGTTTAAGTTGACACGGTAAACCAAAATGCATCATTTCTTAATACAAGCAGTCCAGTGTCTTGTATCTTCTGTTATTTTATCTTTCAACAAACGTCAGCCATGTAGCAGAATCTATGAAATATCAAAATGGCTTGTATGTTTTATTGATTAAGTTTTTGTTAAATATCTTCTCTGTGAATAAAAATCTCAACTGAACTGAGAAGGCAAATAATAAACGATTTTTCGAAATTCCATTCCTGTTTCTCCCAGTTTTAAGCCAATAAGGTCAATAGTTTAGATTCGTAACAAATATTTCTTACTAAACTAAAAATTTTAGAAAAACTCTTGTTTTTAAGAGCTTACCAACGTATTACAAAACATACTTCCCAAAAATATGAGTTTAATTAATGTATCATTCACTGTTCTCGATACTGTTACATTTCCTATATCCTTTCTCTCTTTTCAAACTGCTATGAATCTGTCTTCAAAGCTATTTCCATAAACGAAGCTGAAGTAATTTAAGAGACCTATTCAGTTTTGAGTATGCTTTGACCATGCACTAACTTAAGATGAAAGAGTACCGTAGCATTTGGAACATTAAGCGAATGAATGTGCGATGTTTTCATCGTAGAAACATTATCAACTCTCTTTAATTCTAATTTACGTCAATAATCGATTAACAATGGCCACATCTCAGTGGAGAATTCCATGCGTAGTCATCAAGTTAGATGAGACGTTCTAGGGAATACCTATCTCTCTAGGTTGTTTTCCAAAGAGATTATTCCATTGGATTCTATTTTTAGACAGCAACTTCATTTCTGGTATTAAATTTGAATGGTTTGCTTCCACAGGATTTTTAATACTACTGTTTTTCTTCGTTATTAATAGTACTATTTATACAGAATATCCTATACCTGATCTACGAATGGTAGCTGTCAGAATGATTATTCATAATTAACTGTTGTCCTTTTAAAATGACTGGGTATTCCAAGTAAGGCTTTTCTATATTTTCTGAATAGAGAGATTTCTGACTTGTATCAGTCTAAACCGTAACCTAATTGCTTACAATGATCGTTTTACAGCTATGTTTCATTTTTCAAACTGTTTTGGGACTGAATATATCGTATTTTTCTAGCTTCATCTTTATTTTCACGATTTTTGTCAATATATCAATTAGGATTTTTAAAAATAGATTGCTCCATCACACTCTTTAACATATACAGGGGTCATTCGAGGTCCTGACATTCACTACAAAGAATTTTAATTGCCGCCTGGTTACATTTTGCAGTTACTTTTTATGATTTCACAATGGTTTTGTCATAGTGTGCTAGACCACTTCTTATATATGTTTTGATGATCAACAAACTTAAGATATATGAATTTCTTGGGAGTGTCCTGCAGTATCTGCAAACATTTTGCTCAGAAATTTATACCTGAGAAACAGAAATGGTAAATCACTGTTACCAGTGGTTTGTAGTTACCAGATTGAGCCTCGATCATATTTGCGATACATGTCCTTTTCATTTGTGAAGAAGTCTTAAAATTTAAAATGCACCGTTCACAAAAGACGTGTGGACAGATTATGCAACTCAGAAGTCGAAACAACAAAGCGCTTTTTAAACTATAATTGTTCGCCGTTCAAATCTCATTTTTAACTTGCAGAGTGTGAACTTTGCTTATATCTCTGAAACAAAATGAAATTTAAACTGAAAACTGTCAATTAGTGCTGATGTTGTTTTATTCATATTTACTCTGATTTATTTGAAGTTTTAAAGATTTTGCTGATTTATGGCCATTAAAATTTACAAACAAAACAAATGGCATCAGTCCAAGGCGTTGGTTATTAGTTTGCAATCCTGGATTAACTGATCTCATCAGAAGTGCAATACAAGCTGATGACTGGGTTAAAAATCTAATCATGCTGAACCGGTTGAAGGAGAAAGTGAATGATGAAAACTTTCGAAATAAACTTATGCAAGTTAAACAAGATAATAAAAACCGGTTTGTTGCCTATATGCGACAACACAGAAATATTATATTGAATCCAAGTTCTATTTTTGATGTCCACGTAAGTTAAAAGCTAAAAATGTGCTTTTATTTTTTGTACCACTTCTATGAAGATATGTGAACCCAGTAAGATCTTATTTCTTCGACATAACATGTTGAAGGCATCTAAAATCATAATCAACCTACTACTTTGGATTAGCTGATATATTTCTAATATACCATATCATATATTTTTTTCCTAATACTGATAAAATCATAATACTTTTCGTAATATATGTGCTAATCAGGTGGATTTGCCCGAACAACCAAGACTGTATTATGTGAGTGAAATCAATCATGAATGGCGGTTGTCTGTTTTAGTATCATATGCTGCAATTCGATTTGGCAAACTGAATCGTTGTACGGTGAAGCTGTGTTGATGGACTGCGTGTATAGTCTCAGAGAATGCAAAAATACTGAATGTGACTTAAAACTAGGAGAATGCTTCACTCGACGAAAATTAGGAATTATGAATATACCTTTAACAAAAAACTGCATCGTTGGAGGTAATATGAATCTTCTTTTAGTGTAAAACACAAATTTCTAGAGCAGGTTAGTGCAGAAAATGTTTTCTAAGTGCCACAGCAGTGCAAAAACAGATTACAACTCCTGCACTAACACATAGTTCAATAGTCTATAAAAGCGAGATCCACATATGTACGCACTTCTGAGTATTCCTATACTGGGACAGAACAACTGTCTTGTGCTACCATGTTTTCTGTGGTTCTGCAACTGATATCAATCCATGATGAATTCCAACTTGAGATTAGAAATAACCATCAACTGAAAAAGGCTAGCATACACGATTGGCAAAAATAGGAAATAGGTTGTTAAAAACCTCTATAGAGTATTTAACTACAAAAGCCCAGCTAAAATTACAAAAAACGTTTCAGCTAGTCAACAAACGTTTGTACTTGGAAAAAGTGGCATATGAGTTCTTTATGATAATCTAATTGAAACAAAGTAATATAAATTTCACTGAAAACAGAAAATCTCATAACTCAGGATCAAGGAATCTCCGTTTTATCTGCTTCATATGTATGATGCCTAAATATTGGCTTTAAGTGACTCTAACATAGAAAAGTACTGTCTTTTTTTCTAAGGTATCTTCTGGTGAAACAGGGAGAGTTTATTTTATTATGGTGTGTCCAGCTTATCACATATAAAATTGAAAAAAATAACCACAAAAGAAACTTCATTCCATTTTTAAGGTACCATTCGTATGTTTTGATCTGTAGGGGCTAACACTAAGTACACTTAACAAACTCTCAAGTTTAGAAATGCAAATCTGATTTTCAACGATAGTCCAAAATGAATATGGACATATGGTTTGGTGTCTGCACATCTTAACTTGGTATCAAATTAAAACAATGATTAGGCTAACCACTTTATTTTATAGGTAAAACCAGAATTATCAAGCTTGATAACGAATGTTGAATGTATATTTTATTGTAAAAGGGCCTTAGCAATACTGCAGAATATTGAAGAACTGATGGAGTAAAATCAAACAAAAGCAAAGCAGCTTCTAAGTATATAGAGAATAATATCTGTAAGTCAGGCCAGTATTCGATTAGCTTTTTTGATCACGAAAAAACAAACCACATCTTACAGTTAATTTTCTGATAATTCAGAGTAAACATGTTTCCCACAAAAGTAAGGAGGAAATATTTATTATTGGCTTAATAAATCAGTGAGACACTGCATCGAAGGGTTGCTGACTGATCTGATTTGGTGAATCTTTACACGTAATATCTATTTCAGTTTTCTAACAATGAATACGTTTAACGTATCAGCGTCAGTTGCCTGAATAAAAAGAACGATATACAACGCAAAAGTTAAGTAATTCTTTTAAATGAAAGGGTGTGAACCTGAATCTACTAAATGGCAGAAAATGTAAGCCACTTAGAATATATTCTGCTAATATCACATTACTTCATTAGGAATTTAAGTGTTCTGGCCAATAGCCTTCGACTATCATTTTCTAATAATCCGGCGTTGCTTTATTTAACTTACTGAACTGTCCAAATACAAATTCACCAGAAACCGTCTGACATCATACAGATTTGAAGAAACGGAAGAACTACTGAGGACTGATTTTACTATCCTTAAGAAATCCAATATGTATTACAGTTGTCATTTAGTCGGTTTTTTTTAAACTGCTCAGACAGTCGTTCAAAATTATTCCTAGATTTTTTAGCATCTAAGTTCAAACATATGTTTTAAGTGGTGCCACTGTTTACCATTCGTTTTGTTAGACAATTAGTGAGAAGTACACAGCAGTATTTTTTTTAACTTTTTAAGACTGAATGAGTGTCTTTAGGAAGTATTTTTATTGACGCTGTTCTCTGACCATTCCTTTTCATCGAATAATAGTAATAACACCAAAAAGAGTCTTTGTGCTAGACGATAAATCTGGTCAGTTTCTTTTATAAAGTTCAATGACATTCTCACTTGTGACTTGAAAATCATTAAGTAAATGATATGTCTCTAACTTTAATTATTTAGTTGCAAGCACACATGAGTTCGAAGAACGATGGAGCTGAATCATCTAAACCCCAATACCTGGTAGAAGTTCAAAGATTTATAATGATTTATTCATAAGATGGCGTTTTGTGTGTTTTGTGTAGGTTTAATTCGAAAAGTCACTCAGCTTTATTGTGTTTTGACTCAATTCCACAAGTTCTGGTAATTGGTGACAAGCTTATTTACGCATAAGTGTTTCAAATAACTGGCCCCATTAATCTCCTGATAGTTACTTAAAAAACAACTATAGGTTTAAAATAAATCTCCAGACGATGATCAACAGCATCTAAATGAATAGGCTGTTCTCTTAAGCGTAGTCAGTTAGTTCAGAAGAAAGGCGACTAGTATTTCGGGACAAACCTGTATTTTTTATCGCCTTTTTATTTTAGGTTGGACAAACCGACAAGTTAACTTACAGCCTGGTCTAAAAGTGCTTCGGTTCAGGTTAGCTTACTCCGGAGCGGCATGAAATGTTTAGAAGATTTGGATATCTAGATTGTTCTGCAGTGAAAAACTTGCTAAACTGATTGTGTTTTCGTTATTTCCGAGTGATTTTTTACGCATAAGACTGAAATAAAAATCTACCACTTTCATAAAATTATCTCATCCTGCTGCATTATATTATCTTGGGAAAAAATGAGTGAGACCAGAAAACAATTCAGATGAAAATAAATTGATGGATTTAACAAAGGGTGGAATATGAGTTTTGAGATCAAACAACGAATGGAGGGAGAATATATTACATGGATCACCCTTGGTATTCAGTCTGAGTTACCAAGGAGGAACACAGTAACCAAAAATTACTTTTGAATGCACAAAAAGGCTGTGAGCTTCCTAATGTATACACCTAAAGCAAGCTAAGATCTATGTCCCCAATCGTTTCTGTAAATAGGTTAGGAAGATTTATACAAATAAAATTTGTCACCCTTTTTAGTGATATGTTTATCTATAGACGAAGTCAAACACCTAATGCCTGAGTCAGTGGGATCATTTCATTTAGTTTACTGTTGCAGACACTTCAAAATGTGCTCTGTGACCCTCACTTGCGTAGATCCCTGGATCCTCCCTGTGCAGGCCCATGTTAACTTATAAACGCAGTCGGATGTGCACTTCCTGATTCATATATGGCATGGGTTTACAGGAGTACATAACTTTCATTTTCACCATGGTGCTGACCTTTACTGAATGTTGCGTTTCCCAAATAGCATTTCTGCAATTGTCAGACTCTGTGATAGAGTGATAAAAAGGTGATTGCAAAACTTTCTTTCTCTTCCCATCTTAACCAACTATTTGATCCATGTTTATCCATTATTGTCAAAATCGCATTTATCCTTTGTGATAATGCATGTGAAAATGCATGGCGACTACTTTTGGATGACTAGATTGCTCAAAATACATTGCACTGATACATCACACATTTCAGATACGGTAACGAGTAATTTCCAAGCATAATTTACTGCACCAAGCAATTCAACAACTCGATGAAAAACAAAGCCATGATGTAAGCTTAGTGAAATAAATTAAATTTTTTGTTATAACTGCAAAATAATTTAAAGAAAATGTGGGGAGCTAACGTCAAATCAAACGTAGTATCAAGTCACGAATCCACATGGTAGTCGGGCAAAACCCTTAGGGATTAGAATGAAATAAAAATCTGGCCATCAGTAAGGTCGCTTTGCTCAATTGGTAGAACATCTGGCCGAAAACCTAGTGGTCGCTGGTTTGAATTCCACTGCAGTTCAGATTTTCATTTCACCTTGAATCACCACCCAGCATCAATCAGAAATTAGATTATAAGCATAAGTTGAATGGTAAAAAAAATCATAAAGGTTTCATAAAGGGGAAAAACAGGTCGCCCTCATATCCAAAAACCTAAAACGCTCAAGACTGGCAAGTATACATTACAAGCAGGCATGCAACTTAAAAGTACTTCACTTCCAAATGAAGTAAATACTAAAAAAGCCGTCTAGCCTGGTAATGAAATGTCCACGATCGAACTATGGAGCTGAGAAAAAACACCAAACAGTTAGCATCGTTCTTAGTTTTAATTTCGTTCAGTAATAATCCGTCCACTCCAAAAAATAGGTTTCATTCAATGTGAAATTCTTGGCATGTAATAAATTAACCAACTTACTCCCAAAACAACATTTTCAAAAAAATGATTATAGTATCTGAACGATGTTCATAATAATAGCGTCAAAGGTAACAGTGTGAAGCAACCGGCTTATGCTGGATAAGCGTCCGGTGTTTAATGGTGGTAGTTCGTTCAGGCAGTAGAAGAATGTATTATTCGATCTTGGTATCCGAAGAATGCAAATATAATGCATTTTTGTGAATCTGAAAGTTCATTTCTGTCTAGTATGATATTTTTCTTCGTTTTACTATCTTTTCGAAAAACAACTTGTTCAGAACATTTTAAAAACCACCGAGAGTACGTTACACGTTTGAAAGACATATTTGAGAGATTAAAACACACTGAAAGGGACGAATTTGATAGATATATCTGATGGAAAATTTCATTGGTGATTCAAAGTTCAAGCAGGCAGCTAGTTTGACAAAGCCATATAATAAGAATAGATATGATGTTGATAGAATGAGCCTAATGAAAGATATGACTAAATGAAAAGAGAAGTGAGGTGTCGAATTAACAGAACGTTCAAGATTAAGACCAAGATGAAGAACAGTCACATTTGTGGCGTGTACTCAAAGCGCACACACTCTTCTGTTACTTCATTATTGCAGTCTTGATTCACCAAATGAAATCATCTGTCCATTAGTTTCAAACGACTACTGGATAACATTGAACCAATGTTTGTTGTATTGTCTCTTCTAATAGATACATGTTGTGACAATCTGCATGTGACATGCTGAAAAATGTTTCGTCTCTATACTTACTGGTTGTTGTATATCTATAATCATTTTACAAAAGCAGAAAGACGATAATTGTTTACATTTAAAAGACTGACCAGTCGACCTCTAAAACTACATGCAGTTTCATTAGTATAGGTGTAAACTTGGGCAATGTGTATTATAAATCAAATAGACAAATTTAATGTGGAATACATACAGTTTGCCATTCTTCAATGAGGTCTTCTTTGGTAAGTTGCTTTAGATAAACATTATGAGATGTGTCCACAAACTGTCTTGTAACCGACGAACTGGAAAATATTCTTATTTGAAACTTCTGAAAGAACTCCAAACCATAAGAACTGGAAATTAAGCTTTTCTTCAACATGTCTTTTATTTAAATAGGTTAAACGCATTTTAGAATATAAACGTCCATTACTACCCTGTTTGCTTGCCATAACTTTGTACAACCGAATAAGAGCAAATCCTGATTTAAAAATGTGTCCAAGGACAATAATTATTGGTGGTAAAGCTGCACCTGGCTACGTTATGGCTAAAATTATCATAAAGTTAATCAACTCAGTTGCTCGAATAATTGAATTCGATCCAATCACAACGGGTAAACTTAAAGTATGTTTAGTTCCTGACAATTTGCAAGAATCTTTTTTTTAATTTGGTAAATCCCTACTAACTTTTCTACTACTGATTGTATTTTACTGTCCTTACATATCAGGTTGTTGACCTAGATTTTTTGGTTGTTAAAATCGCCAATAATAAGCATCTACAAATGCAATACAACTTATAGATATCTAAGTCAAGTTGAAATTTGATGGTAAGAAAACATTTAGGCTTTAGATAAACTATATTCATAGTGAAATTTGTGTTTTTCAACGGCTTTTGTTCTACATTCTTTGAAAATACAAATGCCGAAATCATAATGTCACTCTGTATTCTTTATTCTGATTTGTATAGCTAAACATGGCAGTCAGAAGCATTGCTCTTTATTTAACAGGAGTGGAACTGACCATTTTTAAAGCAGCATTTGATGATTACATCACTTCACTTCTTAACTCAACTGACGTGTATTTCAATTAGAAACATTTATTTAAAATAGCCTTTCATAGCTTTTGTTTTCGTATGTCGAATTATAAACATTCATTTAGCTACCCTTTCTAGTGCAGCTACATAGAAAGTAATTATGGAATTCCTTCGACGTGGTTAATTACTGCTATTAACTCTCTCTTATTTTTGAACAAACTTCATACATTATCAGGATCGGTAAAATATGTCACGAAAGTATAACAGTACCTTGAAGGTATACAAAACGAAACAAGATAGGAAATATATCAGGGTCATAAAATGAAAAACAATCAAATATAATACATTCACCAAACGTCACTAGCTTTGAAAACTAGAATTTAATAGGAAAATAAAGTTGGTCACCAGTGTCAAAGATTCCGAAGTTTATCTGACGACTTGTCAAAGAAACAGGCTGAATTTATTAAACGCGACATAGCAAGTTGAAATACATTACCATATTTGTTCTTTACCTCTTCATACTGTATCATGAACTGTAAGCTTTCTCACTAGTTCAGGGGCTGGTAAGTAATGAGCAGTATGCATTTATTTAGAACTGCCTATGTACAATGGAGGAGTTCAGCAGACAACTGCAATCAGTAATAAACAGGACCCCACCCCAGATGGTGACATCTAAATTCTAATAGATGACATGAATGCCAAACTCGGAGCGGACAACACAGGAAAAAAACAAATTATGCGTCGAAAGGGACTAAGTGAAATGAACGAGAATGGAGAACTGTTTGCAGATTTCCGCGCATTTAACGATGTGGTCATTGGAAGCACTGTGTACAAACAGAAGGATATTCACAAGGCAAAACATAGATTTCACCAGATGAACATACCAAAAATCAGACTGATTCCATCTCAATCTGCAGAACGGGGAAACAAGCCTACTGAATACAAGATGAAGAAGAAGGCTAAATGACATACGTTCCCATCACACACCATATAGCGCAAGGAATCAACCTTCAAAATCAAGTTGAAAGCCTTCGAAGAAGAACTTGGTGATAGACCACAGTTCAAGTTCAACACCCAGGACAGAAACTGAAGGAAGAAACTTCAAACGACATCTTCACATCAGCTCAGCTATTAGGAAAAAATTGGGTGGCATTGAGCAACGTCCTCGAGGAAACCTGCATGGAAGAACACTGGAACTCTGTGAAAGAGACGTGGAAGGAAACCTGCATAACCGTGTTAGAAAGGAAAAAGAAGGAAGACGGGACAAGGAATGGATCTCAACGGACACATGGAAACTGATAGAAAGGGGAGAAGATGGTGAGGCAGAAGATGAACCAGTGCAGTGCAGTGCAGGGATGAACAACGAAAAGAACTGAGTACAACGTATAAAACACTGAACAAAGGAGTGAAGAAGAGTGCACGCAAAGACAAAAGACACTTCTACGACACACTGGCAAGTGAAGCAGAACAGTCTGCAGGTATGAGAGATAGAGAATTGACAACATTATATCATATAACCAGGTTACTATCTGGGAGGGAAGAGATCAGCACACATGAGACCAATGAAAGGTAGTGAAGGAAACTTAGTTGGCAAAGAGGAGAAACAAAGGAAACAATGGGCTGCCTGCTTCAAAAAGTGGTGAATCAACCACCACCTGCAACTTGTCCAGAAATACCACTAGTAGCCTACCCATAAAACTATCAGTGAACACATGCCCTCCGACAAAAGGAGAAGTGAAGTCCTGAAGGTCATAAAGTTACTGAAATCTGGGAAAGCAGCAGGACCATATGGAAGTCTACCAGAAGCACCGATAACAGACTCAGAGACAGCAGCGGACATGCTCGCACTACTACTGCAGAAGGTTTGGAAGGGAGGAAAGGTACGTGCAGATTGGAAGGAGGGTTGCCTTGTCAAACAAACTCCCAAAGAAGGGAGACCTCAGTGTTTGCAAGAACCGGCGCGGAATCATGCTCCTGCCCTCACCCACTAAAGCAAAATATCAGGCCACATCATCCTGGAGAGAATTAAGGATGCTCTGGATCCAAAATTACGACCGAAACAGGCTGGATGGCTGGCTGTCTTTAAGAAGAACAAATCATGTGCGGATCAAATTACAACACTACGCATCACCATAGAACAGAGGATAGAATGGCAGTCAACCCAACTCTACCTCAACTTCATCGACTTTGGAAAGGCCCTTGACAGTGTCGACCGAGAAGTAATTTGGCGGGTAACTGCTTCAACACTACGGTTTTAGTGCCACAATCCTTTATTAGCCTCATTGAACAGCTAGCTATATGACCACGCCACATGCCAAGTGATTCACAATGGAAAGCTCAGTAGCTCCTTTGAAGTGAATACAGGAGTGAGACAAGGTTGCCGTCTACTATTGCCAATCATCTTGCTGATTGTGGTCGACTGAACTGAACTGGATCATCCAGTAGATAACTGTGAGGAGTGAGAAGAGGGGCACACGATGGCCGGACCGATGAAGAGACCCCAGGAGATTATTTGTATTTCGCCGATGATGATTTATGCCTAATGTCTTGTTGCACAAACTCGAAGATCTACAGGCAAAACGCAACACTGAGAATACAATTGGGGGACATCATTTGCCAGACCAGGCCAGGCCCTGGAGTGGGACGCAAATGGGAAACGGCGAGTTGGGCGTCGGAGCGTGTCATGGAGGAGATTATGTGAGGAATAAATGAAAGCTTCTGGGCAGTCGTTGGGTTAGGTTCAAAAAGACTGCAGAGAAGAGAATGAACTGGAGACGTGCTACTGAAGCCCTATGTTCCACTAGGAACCTGATGTAAAAATGTTAATTATAATTATGTACAGTGCGTCACATGTGTGTAAGTTAGTATCTTTGTTCACACCGTTTTCTAATATTCGCATGAGAATGAAAAATCCCTAAATAATTTTTAAGTTTCATGTTGGCCACAGGCAATTTAGTCTATGAATACAGCCGTAGCCAAACATGGAGATGCTTCATCATCCTCAGTTTAAAATAGCTTCACCATGCATTGTTTATTCAGCATTTCCAGACTAAAACAGGTTTCCAGATAACATCAGATCTGATACCGACTGAGGTATTCTGCTGTCATCCTTACTATGAATTCGGAAATACTACTTACTTGCATATACTACTACGACTTCAGAAAGTTCAATGAATGGAAATCAAGTTATCTTGCAGAAAGTCGATATCGTCAACTTAATCCAAACAGAAGAGTCTTTGGCTGATCAAAGATCTGCGCCAGTAGTATAGATATTCCTAGCACTGCTGTCAGTGACTAAAAAGCTTATGATGAGTGGCGACGCCGATTAACCGTATGTTAATGATAAAATAAGATTTTATGACGCTACTCAGACTGTAATAAGTAAATCATGAACTGTGCTTTAGTGGGCAGAAAACAATTTAGACTGTTTTCAAAAATTTATTTTTCAAGTGTGTTAACAGTCTACAATTACTAATGTAGTCAGTATATTGGATGCTACTGACAGTTTTGAGTCCATTTATGCTTGTGACGGACACATCGTCAGCCTTATCAACTAAAAATACAAGGACGGTTATTTTCTCAAGGGTTGAACCGCTTTTACTCGTTCATTTTTCCTCTTAAAATCTAATCAGTAATCTGCGATGAGTTCAACGACAGTTATTTATGTGATTTGTTGTTTAACATGAGGACCTAAATGATATGAAAGGTCTTTGTCACGAAGTAATCTTGGTTTAATTACCACTTTATATTTGAGGACAATTCACCGTTACTACACAGTAAACACAATCACATTCTAAAAAGCCTATGACTCATTTATTATGATGTAAAGGTTAACTCTAATCACTTTGATGAACTTCTCATGAAATTTAGATATTTTTGTTTTCATTTTGTGCAGAGTTGGTAATGCACACAACTGGAGAATTTCAGATCGAAACGATAACTAGTGAACCATATTTGGTTATGCAGCGGATATTTCCTCAGAACCGTGTATCTAATAAAAAAATTAATGCCAAAATAAAGCACTTCCAAAATCTATGACAACAAAAACTATTAAGTCCCCGTAGAATTTTACTTATCCAACAATTTCAACTTTATATTCATAAGGAATCCAGTCCTAACCTCATGAATTTCTGAATTAATTTAAATTTGTGAAGCCAACTAACTGCATATCGTCAATATAAACGCCATTTGATACACAGATCACAAACGTTTTTACAGTAACCAATACTTTTGGCGATTCATCTGTTTGAGTTACGCGGTTTGTTCTTGAAACTTATAAATAAACTTTGCGTATGAAACTGGTGACATGAAAAGTTGGCAACAGAACTAGTTGGGTCCCATTTCCAAAATGATTTCTAAATATTTCTTACTCAAACAACTGGGTCCGCATCAAGAATGGTTAAAAAATGTAGGTTAGAAGCCAGAGAATATTGTATATTGTCTGACAGCATGAACATCACATTCTTAAAGTGTCTGATACCTCTAAATGGACTATTTTTTTAAATACCTTAATCGCCCTACGATTAAATATTACGAAATGAGCTGTTCCTGTTGATTTGTTTACAACAGTAGAAAAATAAAACCTACGACTCTGTCAGTTTTCACAGAGCATGCTAATAGTTCCAACCACGGGCAGTTTAAAGTAAACATGTTTTTTCGCTTTTTTAAAAAGGACTTCATGAAAAATATCTTGTTAGCTTTGTAACTTCTTGATAATTGTGAAGTTTGGTACAATGAAAGGCATGTAAAAGAAACTACATGTTCAAAAATGTATATGCAGACTGTAAACCTGTTTTAATAAATTTTATTCCTAATTCTTATTAAATTTTATTCATAAACGTTCATTGATTTTTAGGACTCTGCTCTTTTTCAACAAATCAGTGCTAATTTTGAGTTTTTGAATATTTCTTTTCTTTTGTATTGTCATCTTAAATATATCAATGAACAAATGGAGAACCACTTCTGGTCGTTTTGTTGTATTCAGGTGTAAAACCTGACAGAAACAGCTGGTTATTCACTCAGGTTCACTATAATTCATAGGACAAAGGAATGAAATGGGTACTTTTTCGAGTAACTAAAAGATATCGTGATGTTTACTGATCTAAAACATTTTTCATATTTTTGCACGTTTTTTTTATTAGCTTGTATTTTTGCGAAATTATCGAGTTAGTATAGCTGAACGCATTATTCCAGCTACAGATTTATCTGAACAAATCCCATGTGTTGGTACAGAAGCATCGGGAACAGGGAATATGAAGTTTATGGTAAGTAGAAAAAGTGGTGTCACTTAATGTTATCATCCAGTCATATAATTGCATGTTTCAATACAAACGAATGACGCTCCAAGTTTGTCAACTTTTGACAAATTACTTTCTTGCTTTAGGTATATTAGTAAAATATATTTGACATTAAGATGGTGGTCCGCTGTTTTACACTATCAATCATCTTACGTACTTCCAACTTCACTGCCAGTTAATTCATCTTGTTTGCTCAAATTAAGATTATTTAAAGACCAACACATCTCTTTGCAGACATATTTCTCAGACGTTGCTTAATTTCGTAGAATGAAAGCAAATTTAACACTAGGTTCTAACGACTTTATTGTTCAAAGTTCATTAGGTTGCATACTATCTTTGCTATGCTGCATTACTTTATGTACACATTTTTCAGAGGTCAAGATATGTGAATATATGTTTCCCTACACAGACTATGGGATTCAAAGATTTACGTGTGAGGTCAAAATAGCATTAAAAACGCACTTAAAATTCGTGTAATAGAAAAGGAAAGGGGTTGATTAAAATACTTGACATCTATGAGCAAGTAAAATAATGAAATGGTAGAGATGCGTACATAAATTTTTGTCATTTGAAGTTGCTGTCAGTTTCAGTCTTTAGAAAATACTAGATCGAAAATGTAGACATTTACCAACGCTAATTAGGAATACATGAATTGGTGAGAAAAAAAATTAGTGAAAAAGAATGAGGTTTTCTAGATTACAAAGGGTAAGGACAAATGGTGTGTCTTCACTCTTTTATCTAATTCAAAACCATTTCACCTTGACTCTTCAACCATTTAGTTTTACTATAGCATGGTCTTCATTCAGGTAACTTGCATTTCTACCTGTTGCTTAGATTACTCATCACTTTATTTTTGACTCGACATCGTGTGTTGGTTTTGCTTTCTAAAGCAGACTATACTACTAAGAGGATCTTCAGGATTAATTCACTATCATTGAAAAAGGTTTCCGGACTGATGCATATCTAAACGTCTCACTATAAATTTAAATTAAAATGAAGAAAAACGTAGCTTTATTGATGATAACACCACATGGGAAACTAAGTGACATACTGAATAGGATTCTTATGATAACAGAGTTCTATCTACCTGGGTCTTATTTACTATTCAATAAGAAAAGCAAAACTCTGTCAGTATGTTATCTTGAAATACTTTTCATAATTTACACATACACGTCAAAATAAATTTGATTTTGCAGAATATCTGTGATTGTAAAATATTTGTCTACTTAAAGTCTGTTGCTCAACATTCCTCTTGATACCACACATCTGCTTCCTTTCCAAAATTTTAGTGATGCAATAACGTCAGTATTTGCCGAACTTAATGAGTTCATGATGTTTCTTTAGCTTTCTTCAATTGTGTAAAAGCTATAAAACTATAGGATATATACGGAGACATTATATCTGTATGCTTTCATTAGTAAGAAGGAGATAGTAACGATAGATGAAAAATATTGAAAAGTATCTAACAAATTGGGTAATTCCGAAGAAAATAAATTCGTGATTAAAGTTAACTCCATTCAATGTTTATATCGTAAGGCTGTCATTTTGTAGCTGAATGACATTCTGATACCCTATTATTTTACGCCCCTCAAATGAGTAACGATATTAGTACTTCTTGAGAGGTTCTGTTGTCTCTGTTTACAGAGTCGATCTGATTGCCAGCAATGAGATTTAAATATTTTTTCCTTTTGGACCAGTGACTGTTTGCTTACTCATGAATATATTCACGTAACAATAAAATTTAGACAGACATCATCATTTCGGTGAATAGATCATAAAGATAGCTCTCATCTTTTATTGTTTTACTAGTTGAATGGGGCTTTAACTATCGGCACAATGGATGGATCAAACATTGAAATTTTTCAAGAGGTTGGCCATTCAAATGCTTTTCCATTCGGTCGTTCTATTGATGAAGTCAATCATATGCGGAAATCTGGGTAAGTTAATAAAGTAGGAATCAAAAGTGGATACAAAATCCTAAGGGTAATAAGGTATCATATGTAAAAATATCTCATCTGAATTACTTGGGTCCTGACTGCTAAATGACACTGGTCATGTTTAGTTTTGTTAGTTACAGGTGACTTTTAAAAACGGCATACAGGACTATAGTGCCGTCCATGATAAGGATACAAGAACTGATATTGGAAGAATGGTTGCACAGCAACTCAGCCTATGATGCACTTTTCATAATAATGGGTCAAGTATCAGCTTTTTGTAACACTATTATTTATTGGTTGGTGTTATCAGGTGCATTTCTTTACCCACGACAATACTGAAGTAGTCATATGACCATGCCATCTTGTTCATAGGTCTATTGCCCATAAGGTTTTTGGTCACATTGGTTGTAAAGTTTTCAAAATATCTTAAATGAGTGTTCAGTCACTTCGCTTGCATGTGATGACATAACGCATAGGGATTTCCTAAGCAATCTGTCTCCCTGCTTACCTCTATTGACCTATAGTACTATTATGCTATCCCACCATACATGTTGCAGGTCTTCACTGACCTTTAATTAAAAGATTTGGAGCAAAGCAGTGTAATGTGTGAACCAGCTGACGTACGGAAAAATTGCATCAGCCCTTATGATCTTGATATTTGTTGGTCTTCTCATATCCTATTGACTTAAAGAGAAAGCGATTGAGTTCGGCATATTCCAAAAAGAAGCTGTGACTCTGTGCAAAAAACCAATTCCTCGGTTCGCAATTCATTGTAAGCATATGTCTTGGTAACCTCGCCTGGTTAACTAGTTTACTAGTTACTAGTCGAACCCAAGCCCGGATAAAGAGGGAAGGTTGGGCATACGGCTAGCAACCGTACCTCAGAAAGTCAATCCAGCACACCCAACACAGAAACTGAAGGAAGAAACTTCAAACGACATCTTCACATCAGCTCAGCTATTAGGAAAAAATTGGGTGGCATTGAGCAACGTCCTCGAGGAAACCTGCATGGAAGAACACTGGAACTCTGTGAAAGAGACGTGGAAGGAAACCTGCATAACCGTGTTAGAAAGGAAAAAGAAGGAAGACGGGACAAGGAATGGATCTCAACGGACACATGGAAACTGATAGAAAGGGGAGAAGATGGTGAGGCAGAAGATGAACCAGTGCAGTGCAGTGCAGGGATGAACAACGAAAAGAACTGAGTACAACGTATAAAACACTGAACAAAGGAGTGAAGAAGAGTGCACGCAAAGACAAAAGACACTTCTACGACACACTGGCAAGTGAAGCAGAACAGTCTGCAGGTATGAGAGATAGAGAATTGACAACATTATATCATATAACCAGGTTACTATCTGGGAGGGAAGAGATCAGCACACATGAGACCAATGAAAGGTAGTGAAGGAAACTTAGTTGGCAAAGAGGAGAAACAAAGGAAACAATGGGCTGCCTGCTTCAAAAAGTGGTGAATCAACCACCACCTGCAACTTGTCCAGAAATACCACTAGTAGCCTACCCATAAAACTATCAGTGAACACATGCCCTCCGACAAAAGGAGAAGTGAAGTCCTGAAGGTCATAAAGTTACTGAAATCTGGGAAAGCAGCAGGACCATATGGAAGTCTACCAGAAGCACCGATAACAGACTCAGAGACAGCAGCGGACATGCTCGCACTACTACTGCAGAAGGTTTGGAAGGGAGGAAAGGTACGTGCAGATTGGAAGGAGGGTTGCCTTGTCAAACAAACTCCCAAAGAAGGGAGACCTCAGTGTTTGCAAGAACCGGCGCGGAATCATGCTCCTGCCCTCACCCACTAAAGCAAAATATCAGGCCACATCATCCTGGAGAGAATTAAGGATGCTCTGGATCCAAAATTACGACCGAAACAGGCTGGATGGCTGGCTGTCTTTAAGAAGAACAAATCATGTGCGGATCAAATTACAACACTACGCATCACCATAGAACAGAGGATAGAATGGCAGTCAACCCAACTCTACCTCAACTTCATCGACTTTGGAAAGGCCCTTGACAGTGTCGACCGAGAAGTAATTTGGCGGGTAACTGCTTCAACACTACGGTTTTAGTGCCACAATCCTTTATTAGCCTCATTGAACAGCTAGCTATATGACCACGCCACATGCCAAGTGATTCACAATGGAAAGCTCAGTAGCTCCTTTGAAGTGAATACAGGAGTGAGACAAGGTTGCCGTCTACTATTGCCAATCATCTTGCTGATTGTGGTCGACTGAACTGAACTGGATCATCCAGTAGATAACTGTGAGGAGTGAGAAGAGGGGCACACGATGGCCGGACCGATGAAGAGACCCCAGGAGATTATTTGTATTTCGCCGATGATGATTTATGCCTAATGTCTTGTTGCACAAACTCGAAGATCTACAGGCAAAACGCAACACTGAGAATACAATTGGGGGACATCATTTGCCAGACCAGGCCAGGCCCTGGAGTGGGACGCAAATGGGAAACGGCGAGTTGGGCGTCGGAGCGTGTCATGGAGGAGATTATGTGAGGAATAAATGAAAGCTTCTGGGCAGTCGTTGGGTTAGGTTCAAAAAGACTGCAGAGAAGAGAATGAACTGGAGACGTGCTACTGAAGCCCTATGTTCCAGTTGTACCAGAAAGACAAATAATAATGAAACTAGTAATCATATAAACAACAATATTAATGATAATAATGGTAAAACGACTTGGCCCCTGTGATGGTGTAATTTATTTTTATTTGATTTTGTTTGGCATACAGTGGGATATACCATTTTTACCAGTTGACTTTTTGAGGCGGTAATCACACAACTCTCTGGTCTAGTTCTTATGGTTCTATTGTTTTTCACTCCCTGATTGATTCTTATTAATACTTTTTGCATTTAACCGTACCTTCTTTTGTGTTCTCTCTTGTTCTTACATGTATTGCGGTTGAAATACCTTGTTGCGTTGCATATTGCTTTTTTTCTACCACTTTGGTTAGTGATGCTCAAGTGACTGGGCTGTTTGAAGCTATCCACAAAAGAAACTTAAAATGACACTAGAGTTCACAAAAGTAGTTTTTCGAATCCTGGATATTTTCTTTATTCATAACTATCAGTTAGAAATGAATCACTCATCAGTTTTCTTATGGTAGATTAATGACAGTTTAAAATTATTGTCACTGATTTATTATTGTACACACTAATAATATCCGTGGTATGAGTTATTTGCATAACTATTTCTACTTGAAAATTTGTACAAAGGGTACATATGATGCAACATTACACGTAGAAATTCTATACTACATGCAAAATGCCTTATTTGACAAGGTCAGTGTCTTGGCCAGAGTTAAAAAGTTGAGACTATCATACTGAATTCCGTGCCATCTCTAAAAATGATGAAATATCGGACTACCCATCAAATGATTATTTTACAATGCAGCAGTTTTCTCTGTCTTATTGTACAGTTATGAGACGTGTATTCGAGGAGTCTTCACACAAATGATCATAGGTGTATTATTGTCTTCACGTTGCCTAGCGATAATGCCAATTTTTCGCATCAGTGAATTGTTGATTTAGAAGTTCAAGGAAATTTTACTCACTTTTACCAAGATTATTCAGAAAATAGCTGTCAGAGTAGGGTTCTACTCTTTATCATATATAAAAGATAAAGATTTCAGAAGTAGGCTTAAATATTGGTTGGAAATGTCATATTAATTCATATTGGATGACCTACTTGTACACTTAACTCGGATAGTGTTTTGGTTCAAAGAAAGCTTCGATTATAGCAGCAAGAAAGACAAGTTTTAATCTATAGCTGGTTAATAGTTGAAGTTGCAAATATTTCTTATGCAAATGAATTTCGTTGGTCACTTCTGAATGCAGATACGCTAAATATCTTTGTGTGCATTTGATAATTAAGCGTAGATTTTTCGGTCATTACTGTAATGTGGTTGATTTCTTTAATTGTACATTGACATCTATTTATAATTTTCACATAAATTATCTATCGTTATTTTGAATTCTCAACAAGGTATAACCCAATGAAGTTTGTATCCTCGAATCCAGAACTGCGTCTATGTTTAGATCAAATTCGCGATGGTTTTTACTGTCCAACAGAACCTACTGTATTTAAAGAGCTTTATGAGAAACTGACCACAGAAGATGAATTCATGGTTTGTGCAGATTATGCAGAATACATGCGTGCACAAGCTGAGGTTGAATCAGCATACAGAGTAAGATCGATTTAAACGTTATTTGACTTAATAAACAAAGTTCAGCTCATCTCTATTTTGAAGTTAATTTTACACTTAAAGCATCTTCTACGCCTAGAAATATCTATCCGAAGAAGTATGGTAGTAGTTGGTTCAGCTAGTTGCTACTTTGGTGAGCACATTCAGTGGAACGGCGCTATTCTTAATGGGAATGCTAAAAACCATGAATAAAGTATTCGTCCAATTTTAATGCTAAATGTAAAACTTTAGTCGAACAATAGTATTTTCAGTCCCTTTTAGTGGGCTAAGAGGAGTTATCTAAAAATCAAAGTTTATTAAGTTCTGTGGAGAATTCAACATAAAAGTCAAGAATAAAGAAAAGAGTCTGCTGCTCCTTTTGCCCTTTTTGAAAAAACCGATTCCGTACTAAAATATACATACAAACACTCTAAATCCCTCCACTGTTGACTAGTTTAAGTTTCATATTTCAAATAGTTTCCAAGTATATAATTCTTTCTATCATATTTGTGCCATATGTACAAAACTTTCATCAGTTGTCATATGAACAAAACATAATGCATAGAAAGGTCATGCAACAACTTTGTGGACTTCAAACCTAAAAGATTTGATTCTAGATCTTGGTAAAAATATATCCTACTACATATTCTGTACATGATAAATTAATAAAATTCATCTGGTATGAAATTATTGATAACAGTTTGATATAAGGATTTAAATTTTTCATTTCATTAATAGGATGGAGCGAGATGGTCTAAAATGGCACTATTGAATGTTGCTGGAGCCGGGAAATTTTCTTCTGATCGAACAGTACGTGAGTATGCTCGCGATATCTGGAGAGTTGAACCGGTCAATACACAGGAACCTATACAGTCGCATACTTTAAAAGATAACTACCGAAAATTATCTTTCACCTAACGTTAAGAGAAAAAATAAAGCTACTTTAAATCTTTGAACAGATTGAAATGTGATGCTTTACAATGTTTTTATATCAAATGACCATAATTCAAATTATATTGTGACATAACTACTTACTTGTTGTAGTTTTGCAGGTAACTGCTTTCTTATCATCTCCCATTATTACAAATTCGTGCAAAGTACTTATTTCTGTCACGTATTCATATCAACAACACAACATACAATGAAACACTGAGTATTAAAAACTTTATTCGGCGAGGGAAATTCTCCTCTTAAATGATGAAATTTGTCGAAGCTGAATCATTCTAAAAAGCCAAGAGTCGAGAAGTGGGCTTTAGCTTATCGGCCAGTCAACCTACTAGCTTAGCTGCAAATCATCATCTGGTTAGGTTTTAACTTTAATTAAACCACCAAGGGTGTAGCTCTCCCGTCATGGGAATCTGTGATATGTGACTGTTCATTCGTCGTCATTACAATTTTTTCACGGCCATATCTTCTCATTGCAATCCGAATCGAGATGAATCGGAGAAGGCGTAACATCTAACTCCTATATTTAACAGAGTGAATTTTTAAATTTGTACAAATTGCTACAGTTACAGCCGTGTACATACTGACAACTCACCTGAGGTGAAAAAATCAAACTGTTTTTAGTTTGGTACCTCAAGAGTGTATTAACAGTACTACACGAAGATACTTTGGAGGAGTTCAAACCGACCACACTTGAATTAAAAATCATATAATGTTATTCCGGCTAAATCTCTGAATAAGATGAGCATAAATTTTTCACAGGACTTTGTTGTTTTTCTTCCTAAGCACACCAGCTCATTTGAACACTTCAAAAAAACAACCACCATTTTTGAGACTGCGACTATGGTTCATGCAAATATTTGAGATCCATAAATACAGTGCTGTCGAGTCAATCCACTTAATCAGTGAAACTTCAAATTGAAGACAAAGAATCTTATATATATATATATATATATATATATATATATATATATATATATATATATATATATATGCATGATAGTACTATTTGGATTTAATGTGAGTAGTGGATGTGAAAAGACATGGATAAGATTAGAATATCAGTGAGTGACATCTGTTTGTTAATGAGGATTGGAGAGGACGTTTTGATGCAATCAGCTAGTACTTTTCAAGAGAATTCCTTTCCTGAGGATAGAGAGTTGAATAAAATTGAATGATGCTGCAAAAGGATTTTAATTTGACTGTAATATATACCCGTACAACGTTTCTAAGTTAAACGTAATTAGTTTATCTTAGAATCGCCTTATGCGTGTAAACTATTTAAGATTTGTCCAAATTCAAAGACATAAAAATTCATGTCAGTGGAGTAGAACATTTCATTTACTTGGTTTCGGCTTTCTCAAATGATTTACTTTTAACTCTTACGATGTGGGCTAAATCTTAGTGAACTGTACTACATTAGTGACGCATCCTTACGGCATATTCAGTTTTCTATTTTAGTGACGACTGAGTATGATGTTCAGTCATTTCTGACAATGTCATGTGACTGATATCAGTGGTTGACTTTATGTTTTGTATATCTCATTTGTCACTGCTTTCAGGTTGCCTTGCTGGGTTTCAGGAAAAATGATGGCATTCTGGATATTATATTCATTGTATTTCGATATTTTTTCAATCATATTTGATTATTACATTGGATTCATTTTATTGCTAGTTAACTGCTATAAATTTCTTACCATAGACTTGTAGTAAATTCATTAATTAGTTGTAACCTCACTTGTGGATGATAGTCATATAGTCCCACAAATCATGGTTTGAATGGTATCCTCAAATCTAACTGCTGTAAAATGCTTCCGGCTTTGTATTTCGGTGGATTTCAAGTTATTACTGTGTCAGATTTAGACTGTGTTTGTAGTTTATGACACTCACTCACTAACCACTGACCTGTCAGTGATAGTTGACAGGCTTCACCATTATTTGAAACATATTGCACGATACATTTTACGAATACTAACTCAACGGAAATACCAGTTGTAGCCATTTTATTTGCACATTGTTAGGAGAGTAAAAGAAGTTGCTTTCCAAATCTGTGACCAATTCACATATGTGTGTAAATAACACATATTTCTATTCACTACTACTTTTTATTCCCTATTGTTGTACTGGATCGAACTGATCAATCTCTGTTGACATATGGGCTCTCATGTGTCTACCTCCATATTGTCTGAACATTCATATTGTTATGTGATGGCTAGCAGTGAAATCCAGGACGCGGGCTGCGTCTTATCTGAGACCCATCATTTAGGGTTCTCGCACCCCATTGAATGATAGTGTTCTCAGTAAAACTAGATACCGTTACCAATCGCATGAACGCCAAAGCGTTGTGTATGAGTCTACTGAGGCAAGAGAAGCACCTCTAGTGCAGTGCCTATCAGTTATTATTCATTACAGTGATGCCCCCTGCACAGAAGTCACTTCTTTTCCCCTGATGGCCTAGTTGGTAACACTTTGGCTTTCATGTGGAGGGCAAGAGTATCCAGTCTTTCTGAAAACACTATCATTCACTGGGGTGCAGCCGCTTTCAAACGATTGGCCTCATATAAGAAGAGATGCACGTCCTGGATTTCACTGCTAGTCAAAACAGAGTATTTCACAGCAGGTGTAAATCACAGTTCTGCCTTTCACATCATATTGAGTTCAGCGGATTAATAGTTTGAAACTGTGTACTTATTCATCAACTGATCGGATCTCTGATAAGTCAGATATTAACCTAATTGATAGGAGGTAGAAAGTTACTTCTAACCTCTTGTTGAAGTTCCTTCAATTATAGTTGGAACACCAACATTCCGATAGCTGTATTTTAAAGCTTAAAAAACAGTTGGAATTTTCATCTGATTGACGCGAATGTTTTTTAGTGGCTGCACAAAGAAATGGATGCCTATTATTGGTTGTAAAAAGTAAAGTCTTTTTTTCTGTGTAGTTGATGAGTGAAAAGGATGATCTAATCAGTATTGCCAGTAGTAAGAGAAATTGAAAAATAGGCTACTGACGTTTAATAACTGCCTACTCAGCGAAGAAAATGTTTACTACATTAATTTATTTCAACGAAGTCTGGGCATAAAATGAGTGCTGATAAATGTGTCACACAAAACATATCAACATTACGGTCACAACAATGAAGAGAAAGATTAAGATTAACGGAAATGTCAGAAAAGAAGAAGTATCTGCGAAAGGTGCATTACGTATCGTTACTGCTTGACGACTAAAAAGGTGTCAGTATAGCCCAATTACGTTTCATCCTATTTCTTCATGATGTGACTTTAACACTTCCTTTATTTGTTTGATCCACTTAAGAGCCAGCAAACAGTAAATGTTGTTGAAACTCCTGAAACTGTATGTTTAATATATCAAATCTAATGCAGTGTTGTATGCTAACTGCAACCAATCACTGTCGCTTGGAATTATTTCTGAATGTGTATCACAGGAGCTGATAGTTACATAAATGGTATTTCTGGTGAAGACGCGAAATCGTATGAAGACAGAAATGGCTGAGCACAACAAGCGAAGATCTTCAGCTCTTAAGAGTATATTCCCATTATATTTCAACCTACTCTTCAGATTTCAAACTAACACCATAAATGAGATTCAAAGTAAACCACATTAATGTCTGTACCGCTTTGTCTTCTTCTATGAGACAAATAGCTTCACCTACGTTCCCGTCAGCACTCACACAACCTAGACACAAAAAATTGTAGGCCGACTTCAACCTATCACTAACAAGAATGACGGTATTCTCAGGCTTCAGTCAGTATCGTGAAAGTAACTTACAGTTTGATGGTGTCACTGCAGAGTCATACCTATTTATTTGGCGGTTAGTATAATAGTTGGATCAAAGCATTCAGCAGGAAGCTCATCATAAGATAAGGGTGCAACAGACTTCATAAACAAAACAGTTGCTCATCATCATCGTGTATCATTTTCAGATGTTTCAAGAATGTCGTTGGTGGCAACATTAAGAAGTAGTGGAAAAGTAATGTAGACTTAAATTGGTCTTTGACTTTCATTGAATTTCCTTTATTCTACCTCAACGGTCTTTATCTTTAGTAGTCAAAATGTCGGTATTTGTATGACTAGTAATGGCAATTAGCATTTCACCAAAGACAATCATCTGTAGAATGCTGGAATGGTGATATTCGTGCATTTTAGTGAGGACAGACAATATATATGCTGCTTGAACGAAATGTATTGCTTCTCGAGCATCCGTTTTTACTTGTTGGGCCTACTTTTAAATTATGGCAGTGGTCATTATTTTTTTTGTTAGTTAACGGTGCACTGAAAGCAAGAAAGGGTTCGAAAATAAATTTCAATTTTACCAGATAGGTTTTATAAAAGATTAGCATCAGGTATCGACTTTTAGTGATCGGACATCTTCAGTACTCACTGTCAATCTGGATGCTGCAAAGCTGAAACCACTTCATGGTTTGTTACCAAAAATCCTCCGCAGAAATACCGCAAATCGAAATGAATATCAGCAGGCAGATGAATCAACATAAATATTTAGTTTTTGCCTAACGGAAATTCTCATTGTTAATATGCTGCGTTAACTGAAAACACTGGTAAATGGTATAATATTGGTTATTATTAGTTTACTGAGTCATGTACACTTCTGTGTCGCAGTTAAATAGGTGAGGTCAGTATATATAGCCTATTATGTGACATCTTCATTTCCCAGATAAAATTAGTTTAATACTTAGTTGGGAAGGTTACAGTCTAACTCATACAGGAATTAATTTGTGTTGAGAGACAACCTACGTTCTGACTCATTTGACTTTTGGAGTCTTTTATTCTTTTCTAAAATTATGACCTTATTTTAACCTAACTATTGGATCACTGACCTTTCCTGGTTAACTAGTTCACTAGTTACCAGCCGGTCCTAAGCCGGGTAAAGAGGGAAGGTTGGGCATAGGACAAGCAACCCTACCCCTTAAAACAAATCCAACCGCTAAAGAAAC